TTCATCTAGTTAGGAATCTCTACATACAGAAGAAAATTATACTTATGAGGTTGCTTGGTAAGCATGAGATCAGAGAAAAGAAAGGTAATTAAAAGCATGATTTAGGAGAAAAGCTTTGGGTCAGATAGACCAAGGTATTTTTGTAGAATGTCCTTGCAAGTAACCAATTTCACCCATAAAGGTCTGATGCTTTTTAATTTTATTTTCAAATCATAACTTCATTTCAGTCTTCTCGAGGGTCAATCATAATTCTCCCATGTCTTGACTGTAACTAATACTATAAATCAATATCCCAATTATAATTGCAAATATGCTAAATTAATAAATAGGTTATCATGTGTTCAATTTTTTATTGTTGTGGTTGGAGCTCAAAATTTTATATTGCTGTATTGCTTTGGGGCTGGGCCCATCTTCCACAGCTCTTTGCCCCTGTATTGTGGAATTCATGTATATCAAAGCAAGCCTTGGTTCTCTGCCATTCTATTCCTCTTAGTGCAATTGGCACACCTTTACTCATTTCTCATAACACAAAAACACATGTTAGGCACGATCCTCTCTGTGAAGTCTTGTGACTGCCAAACTTCCACCCAGTCCTGGGCAGCTATGTGGTCCTTCCTCAAGGTGCTCAGTGTAATGTCATATTTATAACATTTGTCATGTGGTACTGTGGTCATCCTCAGGACTGGAATGATCCAGGGTGGAGTGGGAGTATTAGCCATGATGGTCTGTGCTGTACCAGGTTCCTTTGGAATAACTGGTTTTACAAACTTCCTGGGGGCAGGTAACTAATGGGGTGTGGAATGCCTGGGAAGCCTGGGATCAGGACCAGTGGAAAGAGTCAGATCTGAGTTGTGAGTTTGAGTCAGGAGCAGAGAGGATTAAGAACAGATTGGAGAGCAGGATGGGAGACAGACTGTAGTGGATGGTCTAGGAATTAGGCCATGAAGAAGACAAGGACATCAATCTAGTTTTTCTGGTGCTGGTGTAGATGGGTCACAGAGCTTGAAAGCAAAGAAACAGTTGTCTATTTAATATGTCTATCTTTATTTCAGTGAGTTTACTGAGGACATAACTTGCCTTTATATTCCTACCCTAGCAGATTACCTGGCGTTTTGAAATGATGAATGGGTGGATTGATGGACAAATGCATGGATAGATAGATAGATGAGTGGATGGATGGATGGATGGATGGTCTTTATATTCCTACCCTAGCAGATTACCTGGCTTTTTGAAATGATGAATGAGTGGATAGATGGACAAATGGATGGATAGATAGTTAGATGAGTGGATGGATGGATGGATGGATGGATGGGTATATGGTTGGATTTAGTCTTTCAAATTCAGTGTTTAGGACTGCTACTCCATATTTTTTCCCACTGTTATGTCTAATTCAGCCTTTATTTATTATACCTTAGCTTAATAAGTTGTTCGCCTATGAAACGGTACTGAAAGTCATAATAAAATTTTATCAAATGAGATATTTGTTCTTATTTATAACAGTTTTTGAAAATACCATTATATTCTATATTTTTGTTCATGGATTTAGAATTCTCCTTACATATATACAGTAGACTTTTTCCTTGGAAAATGCAAAACTTCATTTCTGAATTATATTGGAAAAATACTGATGTGCCTTATAATATCTTAGAATGGTATTTGTATATGTAAAAGTACCTGGATAGAAGTATATACAGGTATATGTTTATTATTATGTATACACACATAATTAAGGTTTCAAGAGATTTGACAGTTACTGAAGTATATTATTTTGTGAAGATTTGTCTCCACTTGTAGAAAACATTTCCTTTGTAGATTTATCCATTGTACAGAGGCACAAAATAATGAGTAAAATTAACAAAGTATATATGTATGTTCAAGTTCAAATGGCATTTTTCAAAATGAGAGGATTTAGCAGTCTGAGAAAATACAGAATTGTGTCATGAAGTATGAAGATGCTGAAAAAAAGGGGCAAACATGTTTTAATACCGACTGATGTTTACAAGATGGATTATGAAAGAAAGTTGGTTCTTGTATTCTTTTGATTTAAAAACAATGTGGTTTATATACATTGAGGGGAAAAAACAACAACAACTAAAACTCGATTTAAAACCAAGGAATTATACATTAGATGTCAAACCAAGTAGCTTAGGTTTTCAACCTAGGTCCTGAAGCCTTTCCAGGCTTTTTAGATGTTGACAATTTTAAGGAATCGTTTCTGAGGCCCTCAACTTTCAAATGTACTCGCCCCTAACACAGGCAAGCCTGAGCACCATGTGTGTAGGCTGCTGCTTCTCCTTTTCCACTCCTCTTTCGTTTTACAAAATCTTGCCAAACAAAGGGACAATTTGAGAATACATACTTTGAATAGTATTGGCTGATTATATTTGATTGAATACTAAAAGCTATTTTTCTAGGTTCTTTTAACCGCAAAACACTTATGACAATTACAAGAGTGTTATACATATTGTTAAAATCTATAAAAAGGCTTTCAACTGTAAATTAAGTATAAAAATTATTACTTGCAAACCTAATAAGCAAATGGCCTTTTATTTTACCTTAGAATATCTAGTGCAAAGCACTGTTTATGTAAGATCGATAAATATTGACTAGGTTTCTCCACCTGATTTATTCTACAAATGGAAAATATTTAAACCTCAACAATATTTTATATTATTTTCACCCAGGTCAAAACACATTTTTATTTGACATTACATAAGTAGAAATATTTTGTCTGCAATTTTTAAAACTAATTTTATCAAATCTCTATGTAGCAAGAGAAAAATAAACGTAATTATGTGTGCTCTTTAATGCCATTTCTTAATTGAATCTTAGAGTTTCAAATCTTACTCTAGAAATGACTAATGTTCTAAAATGTTGTGTCAAAAATTGACATTATCTGTACTTAATGCCTACTAATTTCTGTTTTTTAATTATTTTTTTATCTCATTTGTATCACCTAATAATTTCTTAATTACTATATAAATTAGTGTTTTTTTAGTTGTAAGTAATAAAAATAAACTGGCTAACTTTAGAAAAATTAATTCATTGGCATGATATCAGAGGGCTTCAGAATCATGGTGAAGCTGTGGACCAGACTTGGGAAGGGCTGATATCAGGGCAAATCCTAGGGCTCAAAACAGGAACTGTAGTTATGATCTCAGGGCAGGACACAGCTGTAGACGAAATCAAAGATCATAATTCAGATCAGCCTCCAAAACTCAAAAGATAAGCAACTAAGCATTTTGGTTGAATGTGCAAATTTCAACACATTATCCTTTATATTGGAGTATCTATCCATCTAAGCCACCCTCAAACCTCTCTGAAGTGAGTCTCTTGTATTTTCATAAAATGTATATTGTTTCTTTTGGCAAGTATTTATAGTGCCAAGGCATGGAAGCTGCCTGCTAATTCTTGCTCTCCTGGTTCTATTACTACCTGTCGGTGCATTGATCCAGCATGATATAATACACTGGTAAGCTAATCAAGTTCTCTGAGAACTAAATTGCAGCAAAGAACCAGAGATTAGTAACAGAATACTAAATTGGAAAATAAAAATGCAGTGCTATCTCTGCTAGGGAAAAGCAAATTGCTTCTGTTTTTTTTTTTTTTTTTTTTTTTTATGCAAATTTACTTAAACATGTTGTGGGGAAAAAATTTTTTTTTTTTTTTTTTTTTTTTTTTTTTTTTTTTTTCTGTTAATCAGAATACGAGGGGCTGAGGCAGTAGATGCTACAATACCCGGTTGCTCCAGCAAGAAGGCTTTCTTGGGAACAGCAGCACAGTTTGAGTTATCATCTAATTAACTTTTTATTCCTCATCTATTTTGTCCAGCAAACACAGATAATTAAATGGGAATATTCAAGAAAATATCAGAATTTTCAAGTCTGAAATTCCCCCAGAGATACAGTATTACTTTTGATTTACTATTTTGGTAGGGAAGTATAGAGTTAGCTGGCAGCTGATTCTTGGTAGCTATTTGTTTATCTCCAGGGATGCCTGGAGTAACCGTACTCTCCTTTGGCCAAGATAGAAATGAAATGTATTAGCTAGTTATATATAATGTGCTTCTAAAAGCTTGAAGTTCTCCTTAATGCACTCTGTACTAGCTTGTCTACTTTGTTTATTAAAAACATGTAGTTTCCTAATCTGCATTTCTTTTACCTGGTTACATAGGCTGGTTTGGCTATATGATCAGTGGAGTTAAAAAGACCACTTGTACATTGTTGGTGGGAGTGTAAATTGATACAGCCATTATGGAGAACAAAATTGAGGCTCCTCAAAAAAACATAACTACCATAACACTAACATTCTCACTCCTGGGTATATAACCAAAGCGTCCTTCAGTGGATGAACAGATAAAGAAAAAAAGAAAATGTGATGTATATATATGTATACACACACACTCCCACCAAATAATATATAATTAATGTGTATACACAGACAGACAGGGAGATATTCTATAAACAATGAGTTTTTAGTCTACAGCAACTCAAAATTGGATTATCTTTCTGGAGACAGAATTGGGAAAGGTATTTGTGTGGGAAAGGGAAAAGACGGTTTTGACTGCAACAGAAGCTGAGGAAGAGGGGAATGAATGACTTATCTGGATAAATGACCTAGTGGATTTTGTGGCGTCAGGTCTTGGGGGTCACAAATGCCAAGTTGAGCATTTCTCCATCAATCCTGTGGACAACAGGAGAATGTTGCGAAATATTAAGAGTTCAGTGCCACGAAGAAAACGATTCAGGGCGGCAAATTTGAGGCTCTTGGATTAGGTGAGCTAATTTCTGCAAGCGGTCTCACTTTTAAAAGCAGTCTTGTTTGAAAACGCCTGCTGTGCCTGGAGCCCCGCTCAGCCCTCAGTAGGCTCCGCCCCCATGCCTGGAGAATCTGGGAGCCGCCCCAATCCCGAGCCCCGCTTCAGCCTAACCCCGCCCCTCCTGCCCCGCCCTCTCTGTATCCCTGGAGACGCTCTCGCGTCTTCTGTCCCAACGCTGGTCTCGCAATCACCGCGGGAAGTGGGGGTAGCACAGGTGCCCAGCACCTGCCGCTGGTAGGGGACACACTTCGGAAGAACGGAAAACCAGAGTTGTTCCCCAGGGCCAGTCCACTGAGGTTCGTGATGGTGGGACGAGGCTTGGGGCAGAACTTTAACAGCTCCTTGGAGAAGCGGGCTGTTCTTTCAGGCAGTCTTTCTCTGACCCCCACAGACCTTCCTTATCAGTCTGTAGATTCCGTCTCAAGCTTCTTCAGCTGAGGCCTTCGCCCTTTCAAGAAATGAATAGAAGTAGGAGCAGGGAAAGGCACTCCTCTCGCCCCCCAGTTCACCTGACCCTCTGAGGGCAGTGGGAAAATAGATGTAGAAATAAATTATTAGTTTAGAACTAGGTAGGAGCAGAAAGGGAACTGAGATGCCCTCGGTTTAAGTAGAGATAACTCAATCTCTCATAAATTTAAGAGATCAAATGGTTATTCTTACTGTCACATGTGTATTGGAATACATGGATACTTATACATATTTCAGGTATATTGGCGTTTTATTGAATTAGCGATTAATTTCTCCCATAGAGTCTATACTTTTTTTTCCCTAAAGTTCCTCTAAACACATAGTAAGTACTTAGTATTCGTTGTATGAATAAATCTTATTCCATGATATGGGGAAGAGATAGGAGTTACTCTATTAATTAATTTTGCACTTTTTTTCTTCTCTCCTTTGCTATTCTTTGCTTCCTGATTTTCAGGCTGAAGTCTGTAAGCCTGGAAAGACCTTCAGCAGTAATATCCAAATGTAAGTCAAGTGAATCATGGCCTGCCTTCAAACACTTTTCCCGATTTATATTTGATTTAACCATCAGTAAATTCAGTCGGTAAGAAATGTGCAGGAACTCTATTTTATTTAACAACTTATCTAATTACCTACCATGGAGTGCTAGAAGTGTCCAAAAATTATGATACAAATATAAACATTTAGTGACTCTTTAAACATCTTTATGTGAATTTTAAAACAATTGTGTCAGGAGTATAATTATATATAGTTCTGCGGTTTTCTTTAAACTTTCATAGTAAGAGCTTGAAAAGTTCTAATTCTTATAAATGATTTTGTTGGTGATAGAAAAATCATATTTGTTTTGAATTCTCTTGATAACAAGTAATAAATTTGCTTGCTGTAGTTTATTGGCTTTATTTCTCATATCTCAGCTTTTACCCTGAAGTGACTGAATTCTACAGATAGTGGTCAGCCTCAGACATAGTCACTCCCCATGTAGCCTCTGTCTACATAGCACTCCCCTTCCTTTGTGTTTGCTGATGAGAGTTTCTCAGGGGATAGTGGGCAAGAGGGTTACTCTTTGAAGAATTTTACTTGGGGGCCAGAGATTTAAACTTACACCAAGGGACACATTCAGCCTGACCCACCACTCTCAAACCTTTCATCCTGTATTTCTCCATTCTTGTTTGTCTTTGCATGTGGGGGTCAAATTTAGAGACTAAATACAACCCAGACAAGAGCCAACCAGCAGATCAAAGAATCCACCAAATCTCTTCTGAATACCAACAGGGGAATGGCTTCAGGCAGCCTTTTGATCTTTGTCTCAGCCAGTGGTGCCACATGCAGCATTGCCCACTTTCTGGCACTGGGGGAGCTGCCTCTGGGTCCTCCTAACAGACTGCTGCACCTCTCCGTTCCTGGGGCTAAGCTTGTTTTGGTACCAACCAGAGAAGTAGCTCTCATTTTCTTTCTCCCTTACTCACCTGAATCTGGAGCACTGCCTTTCCTGCAGTGGCATCCATCTTGTGTGATTTCTTCTGTGGTCTTGAGCTGGGAGAACCCTGATGCAGTTCCATCGTTAAGGATGTGTTTCATTTCCAGGTCAGCTCTCGCCTACTCCATTCCTTATGGGTAGAGCTCACCTAGGAGCTGGGAACACTGTCTGGCCAACACCAGAAAAATAATACAGTTTATTTTAGCAAGGAGCAAAAGGCTTTCTTCACTCTACAGGTGTAATTTAAGCCTGAAATAACTAGCCCCTAAGCATGCTTGCATTTTTTCCTCACTTATTTTCCTCTTGGCTGCTTCTATATGCTAGAATACAGCTACTTTCTACATGAAGGAAATTCAGCATAAATAGACTGAACTTATAAAAGAAACAGTGATTACTTAGATCAGAAAATAATTTGTTACAGGATCCCTTTAAATATTTGATGCATTTCAAATATTATGTGTGCAAAATTTCAGTACATACATTATCTACTGTGTAAAACAAAGTACCCTTATGTGGCCATGGATCGTGAAAAACAAAACCCCTTTCCCAACAGGCACAGCCAAGGTAGGACGTGGGGTTTAGAGTAGGGAGGGAGCCTGCTCAACTTTTACCCTAACTCTGAAATTTTCCAATATAGATTGGTTGAGGAATATTTTTCCCAGCATGCAGTTAATAACTTTGCTTCTGCTTTATCATTCTGCTCTGACCACCTCCACCCCCCATTCGGAGTTCGTGCCTTCAGGCTTGCCAGCAGGGCTTGCAATACTTACATTCAACTAAATTTAAGAATTAAGGTGCTCCTGCTGCTAATGTTCTCAGATCAGAAAAGAGCAAAATGAAGGAACTGGTTGCTGAAACTTTAATGGTAGGAAACGTTGACTCAAGTTTTGGAAAAAAAAAAACAAAAAAAACTGTTGATCTGTGTGACAAAGACAACATATTCCTCTCCTGAATATTTGCATTTGATTTCATTAGATGTTTATATTTTCTAGCAAAAATGATCTATCCCAAGTAAACATCAAACAGAATACGTTTTATATCACATACTGGTAGCCTAGCTTTTTTTCGGAGGGGGGCTTATGCACTATTTGATGAGATATAGTGGCTGGTTCAGAGCTTCTGGGGCTTGGTCCCACTGTCTCTAAGTAGCCTGGTCTTCCTAGTATTTGGAAAAATTACAAGTAGTTTCCTCATTTCAAAACACTATTATGCAGAGATCACTCCTGCCCTAAAGCACTTGGTAAACAAAGTAGGGCTCTCAGAACAATCTTAATTGGTAAAGGACAGAATGCCCCGACTGAAGCAAGTACATTCATTGTTTTATTCTCTCCCTTTCAAAATCCACCAGAGATGGAAAGATCAGGGTTAAGAAACTAAGATGGCTCTGATTTGTTCTGTAACATTAGAGATTGAACATCCGGTCTTCACAACTTCTATGAAGTAGGTTCATGAGCAGTCCAACCCTATGTCGGTCGAAACTTCCACCACATGTTCTGCATGATGCTGCCATTTAGTAAGTTAGGGTTATCCAAGGAACTCAACTAGTTAATGTAACTCCTAATAAGAAAAATAGATTTTTAAATTACATAAGAATTTAGTTACTATATATGAAGTTTAAGTATAATACAATATGTTTCTGATGTTCTTGGAGGAGAGGACTAACATTTGCTGTTTAGACTGTGTGCTTTAAAACTATTACTATATAAAAATAGAAGGATATTATGTTTCATGGGTCATATCATGGCCTGATGATCTGAGTGACATTAGGGTTTTATTAGATCTCAAACAAGACACTGATCTGCATTAGGATTTTCTCTGTAATTATGTGAAAAATTATTTTCAGGCTAGAGTAGTAATCTATTTTTAGAACATAAGACTGTCTATTTCTAGACTTAATTTCAAAGGATCTTTTCTTGTTTTTTTGATCTCTCCCACCACCACCAACACCACATCCTCCAACCCACCCCTGCTATGGCTTTGTGGCACACAGGATTATCGTGTCTCCCATCCACAGGTAGCTCTACCTCAGGTCTGACCATGTCTCTCCACCTCCACCTAAACCACCATTCTCTTTCACCCAGATTTCACAGCAAGCTTCCAGCTGTTCTCTCTGATGTCTGCCTTTCCACTCCCTATGGTCTAAGATTAAATGAGAAGCCAGAGTGACTCTTAAAAGGCAAAAGTCAGATGTCACTTCTGCTCAAAATTCTCCAGTGAATTCTTACTTCACTCAGAGTAAAAGTCACAGTTTTCACAGTTTTCAAGACCCCATATCATTGGAACACAAAATTTCATCTAACAACTCTGACTTTATCTCCTTACGCTCTTATTTACTCCTGCTACTGGTGAGCATTTGGGTACTTTCTAATCCTTGCTTTATTTTTTGTTATAGATCTTATCACCATCTGATGTTCTACATATTTAGCTTATTGGTGTATTATCTGTTTTTCCCCTTCATCCACCCCTATAATATCAATTCTTGAGGTCAGAGATCTTTTCTTGTTGTTCAGTGTTATATCTTCAGCACCTAGAACAGTACCTGTACTACATAGTAGCTCAATAAATATATTCTGTTGAATATATTCAAGGCCAAGATTGATGATGTTTACCCTAGGTCACACAATAAATGCTGGAGGTAAGTGATTTATAACCAAAAAA